TGAAGTATAAATAATCGGACCTTAGATTCTGCTATTGAAACCAAAGATCTAGGTGTGATCCTAGACTCCACACTTAGCTATAAATCACACATTTCCGCTGTAATTAAAAAGTATATGAAGATGCTTGGCTTTATAAAGAGAACCAATTGTTATTTCACCAACATCACTGCTATTAAATCTCTTTATTTTTTCCTGGTTAGATCTCAACTATTGTTCCACAGTTTGGTCCCCTCATTACGTTACACAAAAAGAGAAACTCGAAGCCGTACAGTACAATTTCTTGCGATATATTGCCTTCAAGATGCGTGTATACTATGACTATGACTATGTGTATACTATTAAAACTGATGTCAAGGACGCATTTGACATGAACTTAAAAATAATTCAAGCAATAAGGTATGTTATACTTTCTCCCCTGACAAAACTTATAAACCGATGCATCCGTGAGAGCGTGTTTCCTGACATTCTCAAAACAGGTAAAGTCATCCCCATACATAAAAAAAATTCTATAGACAACCCATCCCATTTCCGTCCAATTACAATCTTACCTTTCCTTGGAAACATTTTTGAAATTCTGCTGAAAGATCAATTAACCAAATATATGGAAGACAATGAATACTTTACTCAGGCACAGTTTGGTTTCCGATCCAGACTTTCCACAACACACGCCATCAATAAACTGATAGAATTTGTAACTAGAGCCTTTGAAAACAACGAGTACACTCATATCGGTCTTATAGACCTTACTAAAGCATTCGATTGCATCTCTCCTAATATTCTATTGGAGAAATTAAACTCATATAACTTTCAAAAGAATAGTATTGAAATGATTCGATCATATTTAACAAACCGAACTCAATATGTCAAGATTGAAAACACCACATCAAACTCTAGACCTACTACGTATGGTGTTCCTCAAGGCTCCATATTGGGACCTATTCTCTTTCTTATCTTTATTAATGACCTGCCACTCGCTTCACCACAATCCAAATGTGTACTCTACGCAGATGACACGACTGTGATCCATTCTGACAGAAATCCAAACATACTTAAGCAAACAGTTGATGACTCTAATTCTATCATACATGAGTGGTTTCTAGCAAACAAACTAAAGGTAAACGACAGCAAAACTGAAAATATCATAGTCTCTTTACGAAACACCGAAAATTTCTCTTGCTCAGAGTCGGTAAAATTCCTAGGAGTCTATATAGACACAAAATTGTCATGGCAGCATCACACAGAAAACATCTGCAAAAAACTATCTTCTCACATCCATCTAATACGCACCCTATCTCAAACAGTGAACAACGCCACACTTCTCTCCGCTTATCATGCATTTATCCATTCCTCTTTATCATACGCAATCATTTCTTGGAGACACCCTCCACACGCTGCAGAAGTCTTCGGCATGCAAAGAAAAGCTATAAGGGTACTGTCAGGCTTGAAGTACAGAGATGACTGCAAGGACTCCTTCAAAGTTCTACAAATACTTACAGTTCCCAGCTCTTACATTCACCAGTGCCTTATATATATTAAAACCAACTTACATAAATACACAAGTCACTCTGACATACATAATCACCACACCAGAAGTTCCAAAAACATATACCTAGATTATCAGAGAGTTTCAAAAAGTCGCAATGGAATACTCGCAGAAAACATAGAGATTTAATACTTCTATTCAAAATTATCAACGAACTGAGTATCAGTCCCGAACTTCTCTCCAAAATATCTTTACATGTTCCCAGTCGTTCAACTAGACAGGTGCAAACGTTTTACGTTTCTTTTCACAGATTTAATTATTCATATAACGGTTTTATTCCCAGAACAGAACTAAATAACCTTCAAATCTTTAATATTCAGTATCCCGCTTTAAAAACCATATTCTTCACTTAGCCATCTAATACTCTCTGCTTGTGTTGTTGTATTGTGTCTAGTGTTACTTGCCTGTAAGAATTATTTCAGTTCATATTTTTTCTTAAATAATCTATTTGTTATCTTACTTCGGAATCGTATTATTGTTATAACTCACTTTCATCCACTGTATTGCATAAAGTACATAGCACTATACTACTTATATCTGAATTGGGCTTGCCCGTGTATATACATAAATAAATAACATAGAAACATTGTTCAAGCCCACTGCGTAAGACAAGAGAGATCTACGATCATCAGCTATTGCCTCCACGCACCTGCGGAAAAGTTCATATCGGTACCACCAAAAGATCCATAGGTACAAGGCTGAATGAACATCAGAGAAACTGTAGATTAGGTCAAATAGAAAAATCTGCAGTAGCGGAACACGCATTTAATGAAAAAGATCATACGATTCTGTTTGAAGATGTGAAACTACTTTACACCCGATCATGGATACCACAGTTGGCTTGTGCGGAAAGCCATAGAAATCCATAAACATACAGAAAACTACAACAGAAAAGAGGAGGCGATAACGCTTAACCGGATTTGGAATCACATACTGAAAGATGCTAAGGTGGCAGCAGTACAACGCAATGTAACAGGTAATAACACTTTGGCCAATAACAACGCAACAACCTGTGTCACCAGAAATACAGCTTACGAACTAGAAATCACGGTCATCGGTGAACCACCACAGGATGAATAGACCTTTGAAAAAGCCAGCCACTCGTGCTGGCGAAACGTTAGGATTCAGTTCCAAACCACGATGATCTTCAAACCCGAACGAAGATCGTAACACTGAAATTCTCTGTACTACTGAAATGATCCGTGAACCTCAAAGCATATTAGTTTGTTCGCAATCTACTACACAGTGGCTCAATATAAAGAGTCCATATGAGTTTGATGTCCAGTGTGAAACCTAACATTAGTAGAAGGGTGAGATTCAATTCGCAGATACTTGTTTTCGTAGATGACAAAATGTTCTGGTGAGTTACTTCATCAATGTTGTTTCCGATGTGTTGAATGATTCTTTTTTGCACATATGTTCACTTGTTAGTATACATATTGAGTTCTTTTTTTTTAGCAGCGTTACATCAAGTTCTCCAACTAGTAAACTGGTGGGAGTATTTCCAACTCTGATACGTTGGTATCTTTTTTTCGAACAGTATTTCATTAGTTCAAGAGCAACTTTTTTTATACCATGTCTTTCTAATTTCCATAACAGTGAAACCGCGTTGGTTTCCTGAAAAAAGTTTGTTAATTATGATTGATACGGGAAGCAAGATCCACAAACACACGGCTAATTCCAAAAGAAAAAAAGAATATGTGGCCCTCAACCGAATATGGAATCCCATTCTAAAAAGTTCAAGAATAGCGAACACCATAATTACGCCTCACGCAGCCGTGATATCCAGTCATCGGATATTAACTCAGGATGTATAAACCTCTGAAGAAACTAGAAATTCCCAAAACAGACACTGAAAACTTCGAAAAATTAGCCGATTCTTTAATTTTAAAGGCATATTCTTGACCAAGATTTGCATAGTACTCATTAAAATTATTGCAAATTTCCAAAGTATTTTTTATCACTGAGCCATTCTCTGATTGAATAATCGGTATTTTCGTTTCAGGTCTAGATTTATTGCATATTTCATCGACACATTTCCATAGTTCTTTTAAGTTTTTACTGTTATTTATTATTTTCTGAGCATATTTTTTCTTAGCAGCTTTCAGTAACCTATTTAATTTATTTTTTAATGAATTATATTCTTCTCTGAGTGTTTTGCTCCCGGGATATTTTAGTAGAATTTGAAACTTTTTGTTTTTTATATTTATGAGCTCTGTTAACTCCGCAGTAACCCAGGATTTTTTTACTTTATGTTTTTTCTTAGGTTTAGTTATAATTGTGTTCTTTTCAATAAGATATCGTGATCCATTCACAAATATTGTTGCAGCATTATTGGCATGTTCTGTTATATACATATTTTCCCAGTTTTCTGATAATAGATCTTGTTTAAGTTTTCCGTAATTAGTGATTTTTTTTGTTTCCGTTCCTTTATCAATCTCTGTGTTATCCAAATCAAGTGTTATGGCAATTGTGTAGTGATCGGTTGAAGATATAAGAATTAACTTGCAAGTCACTTTTGACAAAAATGTGGCCTAGACAAGTACCACTATTTGGTCTAGTTACTTCATAAATATATAAAATGAATCCCTCTGTGTTCAATATATTGTTATATTCTTCAACTATTTCACCATCAGAAAAAAGGTCTAAGTTTATGTCACCGATAATTATATGAGTACATTTGTTCTTTGCTTTCTGTAAATAACCAGTAAGTTCGGTAATGAATTGTTTCGCACATGTACTCGGGGATCTATAAATGGCAGTGATTTTTATTTTGTGTTGTTTCATTGTTAAATTCATTTTTAAAACTCTGATATTTCCAATGTTTTGTACTTCACACTCATGTTTAATACTTTTCTTGATATACATTACTACGCCATCATTTTTACTAATTTCTCCCTTATTGTAGAGGGTTTCGTACCCTTTCATACTAATTGTCTCGAGGTCGTGTATCTTTCTGTTTCTGTTAGAATAATTATATCAAATTTTTCATTAAATGATTCAAAATATCAGCAATTCATCTGTATTTTTTAATATACTACGTATATTCAAATGTAAACATTTCAATCCTTTCAGTTTGGTTGAGATAAGTTCTGCATCATTTTCTATAACTTTAGCAAAAATCGATTCGTTTGTATATTCCCTAATATAAGGATCCATACTGGTATGAATCTAACATTCTTATAATACCCTAAAAACAATGAAAGTTTTCTTCTTCTCACAAACTATTAGGAATTTCTTTTTTCAATAATCCATACCAATGAATTTGTTCTCCTCAAACACATTCTCGAATACAATAACCTAATTAGGGTTTAGTGTGTCAACTAGATATCGACGTTCAATTTAAAACGAATTTGTGACAATAAAAATGTACCAAGCGGCACAGGCAATCAGCATACGCATATATTAATTAAAAGATGCGTTAATACGATCAAAATCCCCCCCGCGCTCCCGGATCCTAGATAAATAGTTGCGCTAGTTCCACACAGCTGATTAGTCCCGGCCCAGAAACGGGGCGCACAATTTTAGGGCTACTTTGCCCAGTGAAAGAGGTTAGTTTTTTTTTGTAACGTGATTTTTGTGAACGGTTTGTGATATATCTTTCATGTTAGCGGAGGTGATGTATTACTAATTTTTCATGTACTCAAATTAAATGAATGTCTTTCGTGGTTCGTGAGAAATATACTTAGTAATAGTCTTTCCCAAATAGAAACTTTAAATGCAGGGGTTCCTCAGGGTTCCGTATAAAAGATGTCTATTTTTCTCACATGCATCAACGATTTTCCTTTACATATGAAATCAAACTTTAGTGTTATATGCTGTTGATTTAACAATGTTAGCAACAAATAAACTGTTTATAGATATACAAAGTAAAAATTGAAAACTTGCCAATGATTGTGTAACATACGAGTATTAGTTTAGAGTATTATATTAGTCTATATAGTCTTCTTGAAGGAACAAAACTATGATGTCACCGCGGATAAATTAAACACAAAACAGGACATAGTGAATTTTTCAGAGTCTATCAAAAAACTCCTTTATGTACAAACATTCAACTCCACAATAAATAACCTATTGAAATTGGGAAAGGAAAAGTATACAATGTATTGAAGGAATAATTGAGAAAAGTCCTAGTCAGTTATTATCACATTAATAATTCAAATGTTTCAGGATGATGTTTGCTTACTTGATGAGTAAGACACAAATAATATGAATGTTTTCAGATATATGTTATTTCAACAGTATTTTATTTATATTAAAAGATATAGTATCATTCATGTTTCAACCTGGCTTTTCCACTGCCATATAGCATAATGTAACAAAGATATCAATTTTTTATGAAAATTAATTGAAAACTGGGCGTGAATTATATTACAAAAATAGTAAACAAAATAATCTGAAAATGTTTTGTAGTAGGTAGTTATTTTTTTTATAGGAATTGTATATTTTATTTGATTCATATAAGTAAAAAGTATATAATCAGAAAAAATCGTTGTGGGATATTTTTCATCAACAGACTTGAATGAAATTGAACTTTTAGTTTTTAACTAATAAAAACATGAAAATTCACCACTGGCATTTTTTATCTGATAAAATTAATATTATTTTCAAAAAGAACACTAGAAATATCATTTTTGAGCCACTGTTGAGTAACATTTGAAAAGGTGGGTTATATACAAATTTTCATCAGCTATCATCAAATTGACTTATTTACTATTCTTGAACAATAATAGATAGATAGATAGATAGATAGATAAATTTATTAATCTTTTAGATGTACAATAGTAATACAAATAAGATAAGTCAAATGCACAAAGTGGAATAAAAAATATAAAGTTATCAATATAAAAAATATAAAGTTATCAATATAAAACGCCTAGTTACAGTTTAAGAGTTAGCAAACATTGCATCACACAAGTAACAAATTTTTTAGAACATGTCAGCTTTAATTACTAGCCAATGGTTCGTGTTGCATTGGATACTTTTCTCATTCGGAAACAAACGTTGACAGAATCAGTTAAAATTTCCTTTATATGTCCTACTGTTTGACTAGTTATTATCTGGAACGCCACTTAGATAAAAAATGGAAATACAATCTAAAAACACGAACATGAGTGTTTCAAAGTTTAAATAGCTTTGAGGTTTTTAAAAAAAAATCAAAGCATTTTTTGAATCATTGAATACAACTAAAAAATAAAAAAAAATGAAAGGTAATAATGATAATTCTGTTGATATCAACATGATCGCATGCCATAAACCAAATGGTTAAAGTAAAGCAGTTAGTTCATCAATAAAATGTTAAGAAGCTAAATTTTACGCGACCTTTTCTCTACTTTTTCTTTGAAAAATTGCAAAAAATCAATTTAGTAGTAGCTTAATGACATTTGTGTACATGGTCTTAAAATTTGATATGGAACAGTTTTTTAAGACAGTCCAAAATACCATTTCTAATTTTTTTTTTTGGAAATTGAATAACAATGGAAATCGATCTTATTATTTTCAGTCGTACTCGAAGAAAAAATTAAATGAATTTCCAAACGTTGATGGAAATCTAAATATTGTTTAAATTATTATTGATAAAACTCATTTCAATAATTAATTTCAGGTATTCTTCAAATTGAAAATATTTGGAACCTGACAAAGTTAATCGTGTACAGAGGTCAAGATTATTATTATTCTAAAAATTGTAAATTTTTGACATTTATGTCCAGCTTCTTTGTGCGGTTGTCTAGACAGAAGAATACGTTTTAAAATAATGATTGCATGCTATTTGAAACATTAATTGAAATTTAAACGAAAAAAAAAACAACGACACGCGGTGTTCCCAAGCGGTCACCCATCCAAGTACTAACCGCGCCCGACGTTGCTTGGCTTCAGTGATCGGACGAGAACTGGCATTTTCAACGTGGTATGGCCGTTGCATGCAAATACAGCGTACTATAAATAATCTGAATTGTTACTAGTCAAAATCTTTTTTTCTACGGTTGCTATGAAAACAGCAAGCGTGCAGATACGACGAACTGCCTAAATTGTCCGTTCATGATATTAACGATTCAAATTCAGATAGGTTCAACAAAAAAAATAAAGTTCTTGACTGGAAATTTCTGCAATACTTATTTATAAACGGTAGGTAGGTATGTTGATCGTCGACCCAAAGGTAAAACCGGAAACAGCCTTTTTCAAACTATAAGAAAGGAAAATATATCAGGCAAGTAGCACGGCTCCGCAAGTATCGATTTTTTAAAAACTTCCTAACCCAAAAGACTACACAAGGGATAGCTTTTGAATATCTTCTGCTACCAGACTCGGCGATATATTAAAAATTGAACGGCATGGAGGATGGCGTTGCAGTGCTATCGCGGACGGATATAGACGACTCGATTGTATATAAATTAAAAATTGGTAAATCACACACCGAAAAAATTTTGTTTTCACAGGAAGTGCAGAATCCAGAAGATCGTAATACTCTACAAACATAACAATGACAGAGAATTCGTTCAAAAAGCCAGATGAACCAGCCATAAAATGTTCAAACATATAAGCTCTATCATAACTTTAATAAAATGATATAAATAAATTGATGTCCTAAATGTTATTTATTTCAATAACACTTAATTTTTCAAACACTTAGTGATTTTTTGTGTAGTTAATATCAATATAGCTTTTCCATTCTTTCGCGATTCAATAGGTTTACAAGCACTGCAGATACAGTGAGAAACAAAATTATGGAATAATTTTTTTTCCAGAATAGGCGACTTTGTATACAAATTTCGAAACAAGTCGATTTTGGTATTAAAATTATTTTTGGCATGTATAACATACTTGTGATGCACAGTTTGGGAACTTTGGTGTGGTGATGAATATTACTGGAGTTTATCCCAACACCAAACAGTTATTTTAAACACCTCGACCCGTGTTTCAATTACCAAGTGTTCATCTTCGAGACGAAGATTAAACTGAGTTTAATCACGTGTTTCAATCACAAAGTGATCATTATTCAAGAGGAAAATTAAATAGCTCATTTTAAAGATTATTCAATTATTTATTCAGTGTTATAAACATTAAATAATTATTCATACAGGGTGGTCAAAAAATAGTTCATTTTTGAGTCGAGTTAATTTACATACAGAATATCTTTTACTATTGTCAGAAAACAGAAAACCAAATAAAAATTGCTTTTCGCTTTAATTAATTGTTGAAATTGCCATGTACCCGCCTCTTGGCAGTTACTGAACCGACGACGACAGAAAATCTACAAGATTTAAAAATTTGACGGTAATTTATAAAATGAGGAACTCGACAAGAATAATCGACAATATTCAAGAAGAACGTCGTCGTTTGTTCAATAACTGCGAAGGTGGATCTAACTGACTTGCTATGAATGTACTTTTGAATATAACATACTTAAATAAATAATCCATTCTATTCTATCAGTGCAAGATAGACCTATCAATATCATCGACCTAAAGTCAATGATATTCCATATGTGAAAATCGGAGACTGGAGAATTTCGGATGACGATTTTAATTCTATTATAATTATATATGGCACATAATACAGTGAAATAATACAAATCAGAGTCATTAATATCAATATAAATTCAAATGTTCGTAACGAAATTGTTTCAAATCTATTAGGAACAATGAATTCTTTATAAATCAACAACTCCGTCCAAGTGGCCTATAAATGAATGGCAATTATTTTAATTCCCTTGCGTTAAATGCTACCCATTAGAACGGATTGTGTCAAAACATAGAGAAGATTCATATGACAATATCTACAATCTAGGACACTTGAATATTATTGTAAACGGATAAAAAACACTGCTTTGAGAATTTTCTAGTTTCAATTGAGAAAGACAAGTATGACTTTGGTTATTTGAACAGTAATGATTTTGAATTTTTAATAAGTATTGGTTTATTTATGAATTCAGTTATTATTAGAATATCACTTTTGGATTTTAAAAATCAATTTTATTCTGTCTAATTTCGATTGATAAAATCAAAAATGACTTTTGTATTGTTTTTTTACAATATTTAGGTACTACATAATACGACCTTCGATTTTTTCGTGGAAGTTGACGCTCTACAAAAATTCGGCATTCAAATGATAATGCATACGAAATATCTAGAAACGTCATAGCTATGACAAAATGAGATACTAACAAGGCCGGATTTAGGGGAGTGCAGGAGGGGCTATTGCCATAATGGGGTTTTTATGAATATCAATTTTTGTAAATTGTTAACTGTCAATTAGATATCAAGACAAAATGAATGAACCAGATGAATGAGCAAAAAAAAAGACTTCATAACAGAAGATTCATGTAAGAGTATCAAAATCGATTTGAATGATTTTTTCTAGACGTCCGCAGATGACTGCTTGGTTCTTGACGCTCGGAAATCTAATGTTTTATTGTTTGGGCCTAAGTTGAAACGACTTGATGTACGTGAACATATTAATATGAGGATCAATGGTAAATCATTCAAGCTGGTTGAGGAAGCTGAAAACCTTGGAGTGACCCTGATCAATTTTTGACATTCGAGAAACACCTTGATACAGCGAGCATATGCTTCATTGAAATCAACATAGGATGCTAGGAGACATCTTTCAAGGAAACTGAAAATAATCTTATGCGAGTCTCTCATTCTATCTCATTTTAATTATGCGAACATTATGTGTTCTCATGTGTATATGCACCGTGTGCACATAACTAATTGTTATAAAACCGAAACACAAAAACCGCAAAACTCTTGCTTTAGGCTTATTCATGGACTGAAAAGTGGTCAAAAAATATCTCATAATTTGAAGGATGTCGGTTAGCTGAATATGGAGAATAGAAGATTAATTCAGGCTGCAAACATTTTCCATAAAATTATCACAACTCAAAAGCCTTCTTACCTCTATGGCAAAATTATTTTTTTAATGACAAAACACAGGTACTATGTGCCAAAGTAGCAATTCACGTTGGATTTGAATCGCTGGAAATTAAATTCTTTTGGAAAACCGTTCTCAGGAAGTTTATTCCACATAAATGCAGTTCTCCAAATGAAAGAGTTTTTCAACAGTGACGTTCGAGATGTACCGAGTTGAACCTCAAAACGATGAGCAGCCAGAGTCCGTCCCCTATTTCTAATATGTACCGCTCTTGGTGAAATCAAATGTGCCAAGTCACTTGAATACCATCCGTGAAAGTATCTGTAAAAGAGAGATGAATCTCCAACCTTTCTTCGATGTTCCAGACTGTCAAGGTTGCAAGTGATGTTCGTGTCTCCAATTAGAAAGATGATTCTTTTGTGGATGGAACCAGCAGCCTCAGGGTACACTTAGGGGGGATTAGGGGGGAACTCCGTACATGAAAACAATACTCCAAAGAAGATCTGATCTGAGCTTTTGAAAGAATCAATAGTTGCCGAGGTGTCTAAAATTTTCTGGTTCGGAATAGTGTCCCAAGCTTTTGAGAAGCAGCCTTTGCAATTTCAGCGACATGAATGTGCCAATACATATTGGTGTCCATTTTAACCCCCAACAAACTTATCGAAGCACAAAGCAGAACTGTCTGTCCTGGCATTGTTATATCCGTTTTGGAGACATTAATTTTTTGGAGAAAACCTATGCCTGGGTTTTCGTGGGATTGAATTGAACCTGATTACTCTCACCATAATTTAAAATCACCTCCAGGTCTTCATTAAGGTATGCAATCTCTTGCTGCCGGTGAAGATGTTCATCTTCAGTGAATGCCCTAGAATCCAAATGGAATGACGAGACAAGTGCGCTATCGTCAGCAAAGGAATATATTGGATTTATGTTTTTTTCCAATGAGTAGTTGATATACAATAAAACGAGTTACATTTAGAGGAACTTTGACACCACCTTTATGTAAACCTGAATATTTTCGAAGGTGGTTTACTTATCGGATATGACGCTTATACAATGATTTTTCAACTGATATCAAATCAGCTAGGTTTAAGAATTTCAAATTTAACATTTACTTTAACACTTATCACTAACTCATTCCAGGCTTTTCAATTAGAAGATTTTTTCCCGTTTTTATCTTCTTTAAGGATCTAACATTCAATATTTTTGTTCAACTCGTGACTTTTTTCTTTTTTTCTGATTGCAATGTATATCAGTTCAGAAATACTTTCAGGGGTTGAGTGGAAGAACAGCTCGGTAGATGGATTTATTCAGAAACCGAACTGAACTTCGTACTTTACTTTTTCAAAATTTTATGTTTTTTCAAATTGTATGTTTTTTTTTGAAACATCCGAAATAATGAAGACGTTTATCATTATTATTATTAACCACCGAAGAGTAAGCTGGTCGGGCCCTGCCCCCGAAGGCGGGAAGGTACGCCAGCATTATTAACCAATGATTACTCTCCCCACACCGTGGTGTGAGTGATCATTGGGTCCGAAAATCGTCTACCCTAAGCACATTATTATTATTAATATCATTAATAGAAATAATTTCAGGATAAACGATTTTAAAAACTCATATTATCATAGCAACAGTTCCCAAGATATTTGAATTTTTTATGTGACGCATGATTTCAATGCCAAATGTGGTAGTTCATTTCACAGCAGCTTTGACCTCCCGAAATATTTCAATTTTCATATATTTACATGAAAATATGGGTGAACTGTGAAATCACCAGATGTTTTCGATTGCTGAAAGTCTTTCAAAGATGATTTTTGTCATTTAATGCCTCTAGAATTTGTAGTCTATCATCATCAGAGCGGATCTTTTTTTTTAGTTAACGAAATTAACTGGATCACTCCACCAATTGAATTTTTATCGAAAAATAGTTTTCTGTTGCCAATTTGAGATCCTCACATTTTTTACCTTCTATCGAGGTCAGAAGAATATTGAATTTGAACAATGTTGAATAGAAAAGAGTTGTTTTGGGGGTACTTTTTCTCGAAAAAGCCAAAGACTAATAAAACAGTTCATTTCATATTTTCAATAGCTTTCCAGAAAAATATCAATGAATCATTTCCATGATGATTCTGGAATTTTTTGCTTTTAGTAAAACCAAATGAGCTATACTCAGTATTATTTTGTGAGCTGTTTATTATAACCTCAACCGTTATATTGATAATAATAATGATCAACTTTATTTAGTATTTAAGCTAACATATCAGGCGAAGTTTAGCTATAGCTACTCTTACACTAAACTTAATATGCATTATAAGAGAAAGAAAGTAACTGGACCAAACAAATAGATTGTGTGATGAAACAAATTATATTAGAGGTATATACCAAGCAACATAGTTCATAATAGGAATTTAATTCTTTTGATTACATATTGCATTTTGCCTTTAGTTTCTTCTAAAATGTGGATTTTGAGAATTGCATGAGATCTTTAATGATCGTGTTGTGAAAAAATACAGCTAGAAAGGAAAATGATTTTCCGAAGATGGCTGACGAATGACGAGAGATGTGTAGGTTTTGGGTGGTTCGAAGATTGAAAGAATGGAGTCCTAATCTCTTTGTCAATTTATTGAATAGAGAAGCAGGTATTTTAGATTTTAGTACTGAATAAGTGATGTTGCAGCAGTTATATTCCCTGATAACGGACATTGATAACCAACGAAGGTTGGCACGATTAGAAAATATGTTCAAATTTACGTATTCCTAAGATGAAGCGAACACAAGAATTTTGCACTCGTTGTATTTTAGATTGATTAGCCGATTCCAAGAAGGGACCATAGACAGGGTCCCGATAATTAATAATAGAAAGGATAAGCTTTCTAGGGGACAAGCTTGGTCTATGTGGAAAGAGAAATTAGAGAGTGGCATGCGATTTAATCATAAGCTGTTTTACATGTGCGTTAAATTTCAATCTTCATCGAAAGTGATGCCTAAGTTTTTTGCCTAAGTCAACCGATTTGAGTATTTGGTCACCTATCTTGAGTTTCTCATGATCTTTATCATATTGTCTTTGGTCCATGTTGTCGAAGAACATGAAATGGCATTTGCCAGGATTCAGCTTCAAATTGTGTTTGTTCGATAGGGTGTTTATAACTTCAAAGTCATCATTTATTTGATTTTGGGATGCTAAGATATTATTAGATCTGGTACTATGATATAACGTGAACGCTGAGGTACTCTTTTTTCATCGCCTTTAGAATTTGAAGAGGCAAAGTACTGAACGTACGTAAAATAATTTCATTAGGAAATCATTCGTGCGACTGTTCACAACGTAACTGTTCACACATTTTTTATTCGTATTTTAATATGATTATGATATTACTTTCATTGCCGAAATGGAAAATTACCTAGTGAACAGTCACATGGATGAATTCTTTATAATGTAACTTTTTAATGATTTTTTCCTATTCAAATTCTATAGATGATGAGCAGGAGAGAAGGTATGATAACTAAGGTTGTGATAGAAAAATATCCATCTTGAAATAAAAATCTATCTGTTTTTGCATTTTTTCGTCAACAAATGTGTCTTTTATTTGTTGTCATTCAAGATGTTTCGATTCCTACAGGCATCTAAATGTCGGATGTCCTCATATATTTACTTTTTGGCGGCTTCATCCCCACAGCTTATTCTGTAAATCCCAATCAATTCTAGATTCATGGTTAACTTGCTAATGAGCAAATTTTAAATGGAAGTATGAGGAAGAACTATTTTTATTGTGTTGTATTTTCAAACATTGACTAGTTTTATATTGTTTTCTACGAGTGTTGTAAATGAATGAATAAATAAATCAATTAATCATTTGATTTTGTGTATTCGTATTGAGAAACTTTGTTTATAACGTGTTGATCTTGTTGCAGAATGAAATACGACCGTTATATTTGGGTGGCGCTAGTAGCGCTCACCTTTCTGGGAACCACGTCAGAAGCTAGATCGAGAAGAAAATCAAAGAAAGTTGATGCCAAACCACAATCTGATGACCCAGAAGCCGCTGTAGTTCAAAATCAGCAACCAAATGACAATTACGACTATGGAGAAGTCGATCCTGATTATACAGATTACTACTCAGAAAGAGAGAGTGAAGGAGGAAGTAGATGTAAGTCTACTGAGAATGCAAATGCTTTTCACCATCATTCACCTATTTAAGTGTCGATTACTAGTGTCTCTCATGGGAATCAAATTCGCATATCAATCCTACTGAAAACAGTTTCGAATACGGAATTAATAAATAATTGAAATAAAGTAGATATATGTGACACAAAGTATAATCGAATTCAAATTTATAAAAACCATGGTCAGATGTTATCATTACCATTAAAAAATGGTTGGAAATTCTCAATAAAAAATCATTGTGACTGCCGTAACATCTCTCTAATTGCAAGATTTTCAATTTATTTCGGAAGACTTCATCTTATACAATATGATAACATTATAATGAGGAGACTTTTTGAGTGGGATTCTCAAGAGGTTATTGAGGCGTATATTGTGCAGTAGCAGACGCTATCAAACCGATGTCTTTGGATAGAGATGAAAGAGAGCCTTTCATTAGAACCTTCGCCAAAATTCAACCATATTACGGGACAGGTGGATCTTGATTTCAACAGCTCGTTCACGTTTCTTGAGTAAACTTTTTGTATTGAAGTTTGTCTTTCGGATTTTGCCATGTGATGTGAGTTTCTGTAAAGACCTCATCTCAATATCAAGGTAGTTTGACGCTTTGTGCGAAGATGAGTTTAGGTTGTGCCTTTCACAGATTATGCCTGGAATGTGATTAAATGATATTTTGGTATCAGTTGTGTTTGTGGATCAGCGTAGGGTTTCGTTCATAAATATTTCAAAATAACATCGCTATGTCATAGCCCAATATTTCTATTCTTAATTTGCATAATTCTATTCAAAGCATCACCAACATCAAAACCCATAACTACACCTCAGCCTCTTGACGAGAGACCTCGCGAAGAAACAACAGAAATTTTCGTCCAACCGGAAGATGAAAGACCTACAGCAGCACCAACTGGTACTGTGGATGTTCGTGTCATCCCACCTAGACCCTCTCCGGAAAGTAACGTGGTACCTTTCTCTTGCAGCCAGGATGGAAGGTTTTACCAGGATAATGAAAAATGGACCGTAGAAAAATGCAAGGAATGTACTTGTCTTAATGGAAACATAGAGTGTAAGACGGATGAGGTCTGCCTAGGAGCGCTGAGACCTACGAGGGAACCACATGTTGACGTAATACCTCTTCCAGGTAAGTTTAAATGAAATATGTTCAAAATGTGTTTTTTCCGTTAACCAACTATGGCACATCTACGTCTGTTTAAGGTCTTTCCCAGGATTTTGTTCCATGAAAGATGGGAGTTGACTATCTAAGATTTTAAATCAAATGAAGTGAAAATTCACAAAATACTGAAACGAGTCTTATATATTACTAAAGCAAACAATTACTAGAAAAAACAATACTTTGGTATAAGGGTATAAGTTATTGCTAAACTGAAAAAATAAGTTATTGAATATTGTTATTGTGATTGTGTTTCAACTTTATTTTGCAATAAAAATTCATATATGAATTTAATCTTCCATATTGTATATCTATAACACGATTAAGGATCACATTTCTAGTAATTATGTATAGTTCAGAAGAAGGGTTATTCTACGGTTTTTCGAAATTCACCTTGTGTAGGTAACACATTATCTCAAAATATTCGTAAACTAAAAATTGTATTGAAAATATTTTATATCTTTCTCCAATTGAGAGGTCGACCGGTCATATTTCGAATGAGATCGAAGCTTTACTTTTTGTTCTAAAATTTTGATATTCGTGTACCTACTGCCAACCTCGCGAAGGAACACCAGAAATCATCGTCCAACCAGATGATGAAATAGAACTTGTTTAGAGGGGAATAAAACAATTTTCGTACATTGTGATAAAACTAATAAACACTCCAAAGATATGTTGTCAAGCTCACCTTTGGTTTTTCAAAAGAATGATTATAGGCCTGCTTGCATTTTCTTTCCTCTTCCTTTCTTCACTCAAACCACAAAATTTGACTTCGAATTCGACTTCGACACTTTTCACTTTTCCACAATAAACATAACAGAAAACAATGACTTGTTCGGGCGTGTTTTCACTAACTGAATTCTACATATTTAATGATTTATTTATCTATCTTACAAGAATGACGTTGGGCAGAGTAAGTCAAATCATGAATTTAAGTAATATTCTGTAATGTAATTAATGTATTGTAATGTAATAATAAAATTCATTTCACCAAATTATATCTAATGTACTTTCAATATTTTAGAGTGGGCACGTATCTCTGTGCCTTCCTCCCCAGATCCGCCACTGCTGCCAATATAAATCAAAAAGAGAATTGGAGCTAAATTTGGATATAGAGGAGAATGGCAGATACATTAACTTGTCTTGTCTATGATGCAATTCCATTTCCATGATGATATGAATTTGAAATTTCATAATAGTCGTTTGAACGATAAAATTGAAAAAATATATTTTAATGCCTCGTGTTAATGCAGACGAAAAAATAAAACCATTACTAAAACTCGTGCGTTAACTTATTTTGAGTAGTGCCTGAAATTTAAAAATTTAAACAAATTCTTTCTCAATCTCAGTTTTTCTGAATATTTTTCTTTGCCTCTTTGAATACAATTTTCAAGAGTCATACCCCAAAGGCATCAATTTTCATAATTTGGTGTATAAACAACTATTATATGCATAATAAATGCTTTGATAGTAAAATTGGTTTGGTTCATAATAAAAATTAGGGATTGACCATCGAAATCGAATCTAGTGAAGTTAAATTTCTAGTCTAGTGGAAATCTCACAATAGAGTGTAATTTGGGTCGAAACGTCTGATTACAAATTAATAACCAGTTCATTTGGCCTACTGAGTTTTGTGAATTGATATTCTGGCAACGTTTATGTCGCCAGTTTCTTCAAACCAGGTTTTACCATAATTAGTGAAATTTCTAGTCCAATGGAAATCTCACAATAGAGTGTTATTTGGATCGAAACGTCTGACTACTAAATTCATAACCAGTTAATTTATCCCGTGGAGTTATATGTAAGTTTTATGTTGCCAGTTTCTCACTCACACTCAATTTTCAATCATTTCTCTTGAAAATGAAATCTGTACTAACAATCATTGCAATTTTTCATTCAAAACTTTTGATTTCTCAACGAAACTTATACCCTTAAAGGTCCAAGAGGAGAACATGGTTATCCTGGTGATCCAGGACGACCAGGAGATCCAGGAGCATCTGGTACTCCAGGAGTTCCCGGCGTACCAGGTCCACCCGGCCCGCCTGGCCCCGCCCCTGACCTCAGCGCTTATTACCAACAGCTGGCCCAAACCCAAGGAAGTGGTGACAAAGGACCAACCTTCGAACCTTTTCAGTATCTTCAAGCAGCGGTGGGGCCTGTGGGATCCAGAGGACCACCAGGTAAGAAATTATTCTGCCAGAAATTCGCAATCTAGGAAGAATTATATAGAGGGTGGTTGAATAAAATAAATGCTAAATAGAGCCGGTCTAAAGAACTGTTTCAACATTTCAGAAACGGAAGATTATTCATATCTATATTGCCAAAAAAATGTATCAACAAATTCTTTACAAGTGTTACAAATATCATCATCAAAAATCACGCTCAAAAAATCAGGATCCTGTCTAAGAAAGAGGATACACATTTTTTTAACGAATGTTTTTATTTAAATTTAAACAGTAACTAATAATAGCGGAACAATCAATTGAAATCGAATAAACCAGAGACAGTTTTTGTTCATTTTTTTAAATGGTTTGAGCAAAGCTTCTCTTGAATACATAGAAAATTTTCTACTGACATAGTGAATTGTTGAAAAAATGAGGTGAATGTTAAAATTTCGCTGGCTACGTATACTCGCTTAGCGATTTTCTTAATGTTCTTATGTTGGTACAATCGTCTGGAACATAGTTTCAGTTTGTTTGAAGGTGATTGACAATGTTTCGTGATGAATTTCACTAGTTCGGACTTCCATTGTCTATTAGATAAAATGATTTGAAATCCCTGAAACAAGTAAAAAAAGAATAATTAATTGTTATTTTCAACTATTCTCTTTTTTTTTTTTTTAATTATTCTTTTTTTACTTGTTTCAGGGATTTCAAATCATTTTATCTAATAGACAATGGAAGTCCGAACTAGTGAAATTCATAGTTTCAGTTATTTATCATGTTCAGTTTGTTGATGAGAGTCATAAAAGTTGAAAGTGTTTTGCATATTCGGCGATTTTTTGCTATTGAAAAAAATAGATCAAAAAATTTTCTGTACAAAAACACATATAAACACTTGGAATATTGACAGGGGTATACGGTGATCGTACTTTGAGTCAGAAAAATGTTTGCAAGTGGTACAAGCTTTTCACAGAAGGTCGAGAAGATGTAAATGACGACGCTCTCCCTGGACGCTCCAGCACAGCAACAACCGATGAAAATGTTGATAAGTGAGAAAAATTGTTATGGAGAATCGTCGAACCACTATTACAGAAGTTACTGAGGATATCGGTCATGACATGAAATTTTTTCAGAAATTTTGGGCAAGAAACGTGTGGCAGCGAAGTTCGTTTCAAAATTGCTGAATTGTGACCAAAAACCATCAAATTAGCATCGGTCAGGAATTGTTAAATGACGCTAATGGCGATGCAGATTTGCTCAAAAGGATCATAACTGATGACGAATGATGGATTTACGATTATAACATCGAAACCAAAGTCCAATAGTCCCAATGGAAGAGCCCAAGGGATCAAAGACCAGAACAAAACACGCCAAGTTCGATCAAATGTCAAGATATTGCTCCCTGTTTTCTTCGATTACTTCGGCGTAGTTCATCAGGAGTTGTTGCCACATGGTCGTACAGTCAGTAAGGAGTATTATCTTGAAGTTATGCGACCTTGCGAGAAGTAATGAGAAGAAAACTTCCGGTATTGTGAAAAAACAATTCTTGGCTTTCGCATTACAATAATGCACCTGCTCACTCTTCATTACTTGTTCGTGATTTTTTGCCCGAAAACTTTACCGTAATCATACCTCAGCCACCGTATTCACCAATCTGGTCCCCTGCAACCAAAAAATGCATATCTAAACTGCTTCGAGGATTGTTGAAAAGGCAGGCACAAATGTATTATATCTGACGGGGACTACTTTGAAGGGAACAAAATAAGAATAGATGAATAAATGAAAATTCACCTAATTTTTTGAACAAACAAAGTGAATAGCCTTATTCTCTTGTCTTCATTATCCTTTACAGATAACTCTTCATAGCCGCTATAATTGCCAAATTTTGGTTTTGTTTTCTTTTTTGTATATGTGGTCGATACGTGTTCAATGGTATTCTCATTTGGATTCACTGAATTAGAGAAGAATTCACATTTTTCTTTGGTTCATATTTGCATCAATTCACTTTTTATTTCATTTACAGTTATCCCTGGTACACTCTGTATTCTGAAGTTTTCTTCCGGTTGTTGCCAAAAATGAGAATTCTTCATTGCAAAATTTTCATAATAATAACTCTCTAGATCATAATTTTGTGTGGTTTGGAGGTATTAAAAATAACGGTTTGGTGTTGGGATTAAGCTCCAGTAATATTCATGTTTGAACATGGCCAAACACTGCTCAGAATCATCAAGACGTTCTTGTTTTTGGTCAACAGTGTGCTCGCGCGGCACCCACTTTGGACAGAACTTTCTCATAGTTGAATCCAACACGTACTTTTGATATCTTTACAATGTTAGCAAACGCAGGCAACTTCACTTTTCGATCATTCAAAACGATTTCATGATTTTTTTTTAATGTTTTCTGGTGTTCCTGACTCATTTGGACGTGCACTGCCTTCTGCATCATCAGTATCTCTACCACCACGTTTGAAGTCAGCAAACCAACGTTGTTGTGTCTGAAGCGGAGTCCTTATAATACTTTTCATGCCATTGCTTCACTTGAACGGTATTTTTTCATATCAAGAAACAGTGTAAAATTGTAAAACACGAAATTGTTTTTGATCCATTGTTTTCAAAATAACAAAAGTAGTGTCACTCTTAGTACAATAACTAACAAGCTCATCAGTAGAATATCATGAAATTTCAATAGCTTTTTTTTGAAGTTTACTACCGACTGAAAAAGCGGTAAATGCAATAAGACCAGCGCCATCTATGTGTTAAACCCGAGACATTTCAGCCCATGTAGTAGTATAATTTCAATTAATATGAAATTTCAGCATTCATGTATGTACGCATATCTACTGTTTGATTTATTGGTTATTTTATTATCATCATTTGGATAAGAAATACCTTATGATGTCTTCTGAGCTTTTATCCTTATCGGATAATATGGTTTGATATTTCGAATTCTTGCGTATGAGTTTCGATTATTTTTACTTTTCAGTTTTTGGCCTCTTGCTCTTTCTCTCTTTCATTCAAATTCCGCAAATTATCTCCTCAGAACGAGTTTTGTCTTTGATATCAACTGGTTTTGTACACTTCTGAATGTATCTTCTGGTTTAATCTTTTCTCATACGAATCACGTAATATGGATAGGAAATGATCAGTTTTATCCTCCTCAATTTGACAAATGTAATATAATAATTTCAGTTGAACTGACCCAACAAACCCAACAAGAAATCAACAGTGTTCAAAATCAATAATATATATTCTATATTCTCATTTTATCATGCATTTACACCTATTACACGTGAGTGTTCTTGAGAGCATTACCATTAAAAGGAAAGAAAAATATTTTCTGGATGAACGCACATGGTTTTTTTAATATTATAGGACCGGCAGGACCAGCAGGACCCCAAGGTTTTCAAGGACCCAGAGGAGAAACTGGGGAAACAGGACAAGCTGGAATAGCTGGACCACCGGGTCCAAGGGGTTTGCCTGGTCTACCAGGAAAGGATGTAAGAATAATTATTTCCATCATATTTTCCATAGAGTGAGAATATTGACTTGATATTTTTGAATAGGGAGAAAGAGGAGACGATGGAGAACCAGGCGTAGCTGGACCTCCCGGCCCAGTTGGTCCAAGAGGCCTGCCTGGTATGCCAGGTCTCCCTGGAACCAAAGGTCACCGAGGTTACTCCGGAATGGATGGTAGTAAAGGTGAACAAGGAGCTATCGGAGAGAAAGGATCACAGGGTATGCCTGGACAGATGGGACCTGTTGGTCCAATGGGTCCTGTTGGACCTAGAGGTGAAAGGGGTAGAGAGGGACCACCCGGACTTCCTGGCTTGAGGGGAATCGACGGAATAGCAGGACCACCAGGACAACCGGTAGAGAAAAATACAATTTCACGTTTTTTTGTTTGTAATTATCATTGATTTGCTTTCAGGGTGTTATTGGAAAACCTGGAGCACCTGGTTTCACTGGAAACCCTGGTATGAAAGGTGATCAAGGAGCTCAAGGACCCAAAGGAAGTCGTGGTTTTGAAGGACCACGAGGTACGTAGTTGCTTCAACTTATTGGAAAATATAGAACATATTTGAGACTGAAGTGAATATATTTCAAGTTGAAAAAGGATTCCAGTTTTAAAATTCAATTGAGTAAAAAAAAATTCGAGTTGCAAAATCAGAAGTCAACATTTCATTTCTACTCCTACCACAATGCTAACGTCTTAAGTAATGGGCACCATCTAACAACTACCAATTCGGGTCGGTAATTCCAATTAAAAAGTAATTAGAAAAATAATTTCAACGAGTCCAATTTAGTCAATCTGGTGGCCACTGTGATTTTTTATATTTTGAAAAACTGCCACTCATGTTTGAAAATCATATATTCATGTAAATTTTTAATTCAGATGAGATCTATTTTATATCTCAACGATATTCCTAAAACTCTGTTAATTCGTTCGATTCATACTATAATCAATTATTGTTCAGGAGAGTCGGGCCGTCCTGGACAACCCGGTGAATCTGGTCCACCAGGACCAGCAGGAAAAGATGGATATCCCGGAGAAAAAGGAAGTATTGGCGCAACAGGTCTAGTTGGATCTCCTGGATTCCCAGGAGCTAGAGGCCCTCCAGGTTTAGCAGGAAATCCAGGACAACCCGGAATGAAAGGTGCACCTGTGAGTAATTTTTGTTCGGGGAAAATTTGATATATTATTATAAGTGACTGATAGTATTTGAAAGTTTCATTAATATAATTTAAACAAGACTACTTCAACATAGACATTCTTTCAACAGAAAATGCAATTTTGAAATGTCTTTTTTGAATTTTAAATACTGAGCACAAAAACATCATTGACGTACAATAGCATTTCGAAAAAGTTCATGAAAAAAAACCTTGAGAAGAACCATGCTGAAAAAAATATTTCAATTAGCCAAATTTCAAAAGTTGTCCGGCGACAAATTTCTTTGGGCTTCCATATTTTTTCTATTAGTTTATTTATAAGTCGAAATACCTATTCACCTACGCAGTTCTGCTGAAACATTATGTTGTATCAGATTTTTTTCACATTTTTATTTTGCCTTTAAGTTTCATTTCTGTTGGCATTAAGTTCTGTTTTGTTTTTCATTATTTCTTCTTTCTTAATTATTTTTTTTCTCTTCTGTATTATACAATATCTTTGCTCATCATATAATTCCAATAAGCAAGTTGTTTAGAATAGATTTTCCACAATTCTCATATTTTTTTATCTCCCTCCAAATTGTTCTTGTCATCATGAATTGAACTCATTTTTCATCATCTTGTATATTTTTGCTTTTTCTTCGATTCTGTAATTTTCTACAATTTCTTTTACTAAAATGTCAGTTTGTATCCATTTCTTTTGTTGAATTTTACTGTATCGAATACTCATTTCACATATGGATTTGTTGTTTCTACATTTCCATCTAATAATTTCACCAAAACAATCATTTTTCTTCTCTCTATATTTTCTATATCTTTTTCAATTTTCAGTGATTCACATGCCTTTGCTCTTCCCTTTCTTTGCTTTTATATATACTTTAAAAATATTCCATATTATCTGACTTTTTTGATATTCCAGTTGAAAAAATTGAATTCACCTACTGAAAAAAATATTATTCTTGGATATTTTTGTTTGGCAGCTATGAATGAATATTTTTTTCAGGGTTTGCCTGGAGACAGAGGTTACAAGGGCGATGCCGGCATAAGGGGTGAGACAGGAGCTATTGGGCCTAGAGGACTACCAGGACTACCAGGATCTGAAGGCAAGCGGGGAAAGAGAGGCATGCGAGGGCCTTCTGGACAAATGGGTCCACAGGGAGAACGAGGATTACCTGGTGTTAGAGGACTACCTGGTCCTGATGGAGCACCTGGTCCTAAAGGTTAACATTTATTGATATCAATATTTCTAAAAACGATTATGTATCATTATTATATGATGCTATTTAGTGAAACCATCTCATTAATGATCATGAATAGGTCAAGCTGGAGAAAGAGGATTGTTAGGCCCAGTTGGTCCGAAAGGATCACAAGGAGAAGCTGGACGTCCTGGTCAAACAGGACTACAAGGAATGAGGGGAATGTCAGGCCGGCCGGGACAACCTGGAAAGAACGGTTCCCCTGGAGAGAGGGGAATGCCTGGGCAAGATGGAAAACCTGGCGAACAAGGACCTCAAGGAATTCAAGGGTTACCTGGTCCTTTAGGTCTTCCTGGAGACAAAGGATTAACTGTAAGAATTTATCTGAAAAATCTAGAACCAAGTACTTATATTTATCTTCCAAGGGTGAAGCAGGAAAAGATGGCGAACCAGGGCCACCAGGTCCAATAGGACCAAGAGGGGATGTTGGGAAAGACGGACCAATTGGACCGACCGGACCTCCAGGGCCTGCTGGTATTGACGGAGAAAGGGGACCACCAGGTGTTGATGGACCACGAGGTTTTCAGGTAACTGTGCTTGTTACATTTCCAATATGTTGTCGCCTCTGTTGAACGTTTTTAAAAAATCGAAATTTTCATTCAGGGACTTCCTGGGGCTCCAGGAAATCCAGGATTGCCAGGAAAAGACGGCGAACCTGGCATCCAAGGAACAGCAGGAATTCCAGGAAATCAAGGTATCAGGGGTGAAAGAGGCTTTCCAGGCGAAAGAGGTCCAGTTGGACAACCAGGATTACCCGGGATCAAAGGATCTCCTGGGTCTCAAGGAATAGATGGCCCGCAGGTATATTTACGGAGTTTTATTTCGCATTCTGTATGAAAAGTAAAAAATATTTCTATTGTAGGGACTTCCTGGGCCCAGAGGAATGAAAGGGCACCAAGGTCCACAAGGTTTGATAGGACTACCAGGTTTAAGGGGTTCTCAAGGTTCTCAGGGTGAAAAAGGAGAACGGGGCTCATTTGGTCCAATCGGTCCCGAAGGTCCACCGGGACGTCAAGGAGAAAGAGGACCTCTTGGACCCATAGGACCACCTGGGCCTCCAGGGGAACCAGCAGCACCAGGTGAACCCGGACCTCCGGGTTTTCCAGGAGAACCAGGAGCACAAGGCGGACCAGGAGAGAGAGGACCAGCAGGACCACAGGGATCGCAAGGTTTTCCCGGACCTCCAGGTCTTCTCGGATTGCCGGGAGTAAAAGGAGAAAGAGGGTTATCTGGAATGAAAGGTGAACAAGGAAATTTGGGACCTGTTGGGAGACCCGGAGAACCTGGACCTCAAGGACCAATTGGGTTAACTGGTTCGAAGGGAGCAAGAGGAGAAGCTGGACCTAGAGGAGACGCAGGTATAATGGGACCACCAGGAAGGCCAGGAGAACCTGGGCAAGCGGTAGGTTATCCAAAAAATAACAAACTTCAGAATATTTCAAATTCCATTTCATAACTCAGATAACGTTAAGTATCTAATTTTCGAAAGATTTCAGAACATTTACCGAATTTTTTGTTGGATTTTTCAGGGTCAACCAGGACATGCAGGATTGCCTGGGCCTCAAGGACTTCCAGGAATAAAGGGAGCCGCTGGAGAAACTGGAAGGGCTGGTCTTCCTGGACTTCAAGGACTCACTGGAGCACCAGGACAAGATGGACCCAAAGGAGACACCGGAGCAGAAGGACCTCCAGGTCCTATAGGTCCTGCCGGTCCACAAGGCCCATCAGGAGATAGAGGTTTGCCGGGAATTCCTGGTTTACAAGGGCCGAGCGGTATGACAGGACCTAGAGGATCTCCCGGTGAAACTGGTGCCCCCGGAAAACCTGGGAGTGAAGGGCCCCAAGGTCCTATTGGTTTGAGTGGACCTCCAGGATTACCTGGACCTAGCGGAGATCAAGGACCAGAAGGACCTACTGGTAAGCCTGGACCACCGGGTATTTCAGGAAGACCTGGTGATAAAGGACCACAAGGACCTCCTGGACAGTCTGGCAGTACTGGATCTCCAGGACTGCCGGTACGTATTTTCAAGAATCATCTTTCAACTATATAAAAATAGATCGAATCAAAAATAACAACTATTATATCCGAATTGGCCGTCAAATTGTACTGTAACATTATCTTTTGAATATGACAGTCTGTGAGCTTCAACAATTATATTACATATTCACGTAACACTTCATTGTGGGATCTTCACAAAATCGTAACAAGTGTTTCGCTAAACAATTAGACCTTTGGTGTCATTTGCAACGGCACCATCAGAAAATTCCAGAAATGCTCATACAATTGAAACGCACACTAATTTGAAACCGCGATTAAGTATAAATAGGACATAGCAATTACTGAAAACGCAAAATTTATATTGATAGACGGAAACCATGTTAGTTTTGTAATAAAACAAGAAATTTCAGGTCTACTTACTAATTGTCTATTTCAAAATTATTTTCAATTCAATGAAAAAATGCATTCATGCAGCGAAAAGCAAAAAATCCGTTTAGTCTTTTGCTAGCTGAAATTTTATTGATAACCTTGGAAATGAAATTCATGATAATCAGTTGAATAATAGTTTCTGATACTTGTATAGATACGGAGATGATGTCTCAGTCTGTTTTAATAGTACAGGTAGAAGATAGTTGGGCAAGTTTGCCGAATTTGTCAATTCCATTCACCCATCAATTGAATTCACCACTGTAATGAAGGTAAATAATTCAATGTATTTTCTAGACTTTGACTGTCACTGAAATTAATTGTAAACATGATTTGGCAATTTTCTACAAACTATCTTATACGGACATTATCATACATAATTCTTCGACACATCCCTATTACCACGAAGTTGGAGCATTCAATAGTAAATAAAAATGAACTTTCAGTGCAGAATAGATTGGATAGATCAGGATTATATAAGCTGACTTGTAGTTCTTGTTCAAAACTTTATATTCTTTTGTCAAAGAATAAAAGAACATAGTAGTATTTTTTTTAATGTGATAACCAATTTCATATTTACAAACTATCTTTTGACAAAGTGGCATGAGTTCCACGACTACGACGTGGAAAAAAATGATTTAAAACCCAATCACTTTTTCTCCTCTTTCAAATCTGTTTTCTGATGTGGAAATTGTTGATAAGTTTAATACATGTTTATTTAATGTTCAATTATACAAAGCAAAATTCAGGTATTACTTAGTCAGTAGGAATACACCTAGGGAAACTTATGTGTTCTGGTTTTTGAAATATTCAGTGTAAATCTCACTACAAAGTGTAATTTGAATACTTTATGGATCATCAAGTATTTGCCAATTGATTATTTTTTATCACGCAACATTTTTCTTAGGGCCCACCAGGACCAATCGGTCCAACCGGTCTCACAGGAGAAAGAGGACCCCGAGGAGAATCAGGTCCTCAAGGAACCGATGGCGCACCCGGAGAAAGAGGAAAACCTGGAGCTCCAGGCACAGAAGGTGCTAAAGGAGATCGTGGAGAATTAGGTCCTATTGGGCCAAAGGGACATCGCGGTTTGATGGGTCTTCAAGGACTACCCGGTTTGCAAGGACAACCCGGAGAAAGGGGACCACCTGGTGAACATGGCATGCCTGGAAAAGAAGGTGAAACTGGGCAGAGAGGACCTCCCGGAAGAGATGGTAGCCTGGGACCTCAAGGAGTAGCAGGACCACCAGGACCTAGAGGAGAAAATGGAAATGATGGAAGACCAGGACCACCTGGTCCAGCTGGTAAACACTTCATTTAATTTTATTGTCACTGATTGAACAATGATTTTCAGTATGGAGAGTATGGCAATGATAATTACAAATTATATCCAGAGATCATCTGTGAAGAAGAACATATGTTTTCACATGAATTATTTCCATTCTCTTTGTTCACTCAATATGTCTAATCAAAAATACTATAAAATACAGAACCTTGAAAAGGTGATGTTCATCACATTGTTATGAGAGGAAATGGAAACTATGAATGACGAATTTTTAGAAACTTTAGAACCGTTTGTCAACTTCATGAAAGAATTATAGATTCAGTTGAGATGGATTTAAATGAAACATTTTGATTTAAATAAAACATATGAATTTGAATTAATAATAATTTGATGGTTATTACAAAATTTCAACAATAATAAAAAAACATTTTTCAGGACCCGCAGGACCACCTGGTCCTCCAGGAGAAGGGATAGGATACGATGCTGCTAGCCTGGCAGCATTCTTGTCCCAAGGACAGAATAATCAGAAAGGACCTGATCCAATGAACGACCAACCCATCAGAATATTCGGAAAAGAAATTACTGAAGAGGAAACTCGCAATATAATAAACAAAGCTTATGAACAGCTCAAATCTTCTTTTGACAGACTGAAGAAACCAAACGGCCAGAAGAACTCGCCTGGAAAAACTTGCAGGGACATATTAGCTGCTTATCCAGAATCACAAAGTGGTACGTACGAAGAATATCAAATGAAACTTTTCACTATATGATTTCCTAATTTTTTTCAAGGTCAATATTGGATTGATCCAAATGATGGAGATATCAGAGACTCAATCCTAGTTTACTGTGATATGGAAAAAAGGGCAACCTGCGTTATGCCCAAACCAGATCGCTCACCAGAAATTCGTTATGAAGGCAGGGATCCTGAAGTTTGGCTAGGAGAAATAGAACACGGAATGCAGGTAAGCCTAAGGGAAAAAATTGCATCCATCGATTTTAATTAACATGCATATTTGTCATTTCTAATTCAATATCATTTTCCTTCTATTTAATTACCCGATGATATATTCTTCAATATCCTGAAGATGATTTTTCTTATCACAGAATAAAAAACACTATTCAATAAAAGTTCTTTCAATGGTTATTTGAATAGTTTCAATTCAGAAAGAGATTTCATAGTCAATGGACATTTATTAAAAATCCTTCGGCCAATTATAAATGGATATTTGAAAAAGACATTTTTTTAAAAGGTACATGTAGATCATTACGTATGTATTAGTTTGAACATGTTTCAAATGGAAGTGGAAATAGACTTCAAAAATAAACAGACATGGCAGAGTTAAGATTTTGAATTCTTCAAAATAATTTTCACAACTGGTTGTACTTGACACAATGCAACGAATATTTTTCTCTGGGAGATGAAAACAAACAACATGACACTGCCCAAAAGATAATGTCATATCTAAAGCGAGATTCTGCCTGAGCATAGTTGTTGTTTCCTTGATAATTATCAAACTCGAAAATGCCCAATGAATCCTACTTTTAGTCGGGATCAAATTTTTTTTTTGACAAATTATTTCTTTGACAAATAAATTATCAGTAACTATCCAAAACAAAATGTTTTGGATAGTTTATCAACAAATTAAAGACATCAATTTGATGATTGCCAATTTTGATGTCTATATTAGTTACCTATTTTTGTTCATTATGAAAGTATACTGCATGTGTTTTTTCTGCGTTAAGACGAAAAGAATTCCTACAGAACCACTAATAAATATTTGACAATATATTATTAGATTGTGTTTCTGAAACTGCACTCGCTTTGTCGATATCAGAATAGAAGTTTCATCTGCATAAAATGTGTAGTGTACTGTTATGTAATTTATATATAGTAGAAATGAAACGGGCCCCAAAACAGATCTTTGTGGGACACCCATAGTAACAGAGATATGATTTACTGACATTCACCGATTTTTTTTTTGTAATATTCGGAACAGTAACGTATCGTTGAAGTCCAGATAAATATAATTCAATCCACTTCAAGGACTGACCTTGAATACTGTTAGCTTACTATATAATAAAGTGTGATTGACACAGTCGAATGCCCGGCTGAGATCATGTGATGCAGATCTCAAAGCTTAGGATTTGTATAATGAACTATATTTATTTTAATAATATCGTTAATCTTGAAGAATCAAATTCGGGAACTATAGTATAATTTCATTACAGTAGGCACTGAATTCTCAAAAAAAGTATTGGAAACATTGTTGCCAAGGTTGCGATTTTATATATTTCATCATAATTTTTTTCATCTGTTTAGTATAATTTCCGTACGTCACTGCAAGAGACAGACTAAGGCAATAACATCAGTCATTTCTGAGAATTCAGTACCTACTATTTTGAAATTATAGTATAGACTAGGCAGACAACTAGCAAAATGTTTATGTTTTCAATCATCGATGTTCTATTTTATAATAATACCTATATAAATTTTCCTCAAGAAGCGATGATTATCATTTTTAGCTTCAAAATGGTTCATTCTTGCCATTGGCAAGTATGGAAAATTATGTTGTACAGATGAAAATGTGTTTTGATAGATAGAAAATGTATTCTTTGTTTTACAAAAATATGTAGAGCCATACCAGATTAACCATAACATTTTTGTTTCTTTAAATAGTTAAAAAAGTTGAGTCTGTTAGGACATGTGAAACTTCTTTCTCAAAATGGACTCAATAATAACCTCCTCAAATATCAATATGTTATTAATAAACACTCTTTATAAAAATCAAATAAGTCACGAAATATAATTTCATAAAAGAATTGCTGAAATGAAAAGTAGAACTAAATCCGAAACAATCACTCTTCCCAAACACCAGAACTGTAACACTCTCCTTGACGTTCGTGTCACCAAGATGGCGTCTCCAGGAGATACAGTACATTGATTATAAGATAAGAGTTGATATCAGAGTTCACCAAGGATATTCTCACAGTGTTGGTGCCCTTGCAAAAAAAATAAGTTTTTCCAAATGACAAAGAGATCGTTGATTTTATTTCAGATTACATACAAGGCAGACAGCACCCAAATTGGTTTCTTGCACCTTCTGTCATCCAGTGCGACACAAAATATCACTTACCACTGCAAAAAGTCAGCAGCCTACTTTGACGTTACGAGACATACTTTCCGCAAAGGTATCAAACTGATGAGTTCCAACGATGTAGAAATAACACCGAAAGGAAAACTTCGATACGAAGCTATCTCAGATGAATGCAGGGTGAGTCACAAATTATCTTTGACAAGCGATACACCTTCCAAACTCATTATAAAATACCAACAGTTTAATGTATTTGCCAGACACCAAAATCAAATTCGGGGGTATAAACTTTTTTAAAATTTTTATTGGAAATGAGTATTTCGCTGCACTTCTTTGGAAAGAATGAAACAAGTTTGATTCAAAATGTATTTTACGGTTATTATCCATTGATGGTCCGAAACATTTTGATACCAGTTTTTTCTTGAAAACCATATTGATTTGGGTCAAATTCTTATTTTTCATTGCTAAGATCAACTATTCTTCTCTTCAAATTGTTTTTGAAAATGTTTCAAAATATACTCAAAAAAGCTATTGGTCTGTAATTTTTCAGATCTTATCGCTTGTAAATATAGTATATATAGTATGACTGATAAATATAGGTTTCAATTCAACGGTTTAACCACAATGTTTTTCAATATGAGCATGTCTTTGGTAACTAAATATTCTTGGTCATAACATGTTTTTTAAGGGTTCCTATAACTTTTATCGTATCGAATCGTATCGTATCATATAATTATTGAAGATTAGATCAACATATTCACTTTATATATTTTTAATATTTGGTGATATTTTCCCAACAGAGCTTGAGCAGAGTCAATTCCTTCATTTCCATGAAATGGGTTTATTCTTTAGACAATAATTCAAAAAGTCTCACTTTTCCTTTGGATTTCTTTGAGATTATTCAAATCTCTCATTGGTACATTAAGCTCTTTCTCTTTCAACCATTACGTTTACCCTTTTCAATTTTATACTCTATGAAATGTTCGTGACTATTTTTCCTTTTTTAAAAATCTGATTTCTGATTTCTATTTCACGTGATATAGAATTGAATCGGTGGCCATCATTACATTCACGAATTCTACCTCGAAAATTGATTCAAATGAATCTACAAAATTTTTACATTGAATTTCATCCACATAATATGATGTAATGTATTTATAAAATCAAAAAACGTTGAAAAATGTCTAGAACCTAGACCCAGAGTTGCCCCATTATGTGAGGGTAATAGCCACTATCGTCAATAAACTCACTTTTTTATTTCAGTATCGCAAAGACTCTTGGGCTGAAACAGTGATCTCCTACTCAACGAACAAGCCATCTAGGTTACCCATTACCGACGTGGGTGTAAGAGATATAGGAGAACCAGATCAAGCTTTCTGGATAGAAATCGGAGCAGCTTGTTTCTCATAGAATCGGTCACGAATTCAAACTATTTTCAAGTTACTTAATTTTATAAGTACAGCCAATGATATGTCACTGCCTTCTTAGATGTGTTCATCATCTCAAAAATCATGACGTGTAAAATATGTTCATTCTTCTACTGTATATTTTGTAAGGGTGCTATTAGAATAAGTATATATTGTAAGTATAGGAAATATATTTTTGAAGAAGTTTTTTCGATTCTATACATACTCATAATGTACTGCATCAAAGTTTTTTCCTGGTTTGGTGGCCATCGTCTTCAGGTTGTGGGCCTTACGTTTCGTCTGTGACTGCGATCATAGTATAAAAAAAATAAGATAGTAGGACAGCCTTACGAGGATATCTTTTGACGAGTAGGACACCATCAATAGATGGCGTAGCTTGAATTTGCAAGATGGCGCCAAACTAATTCTATAAAGATATGGCATTGGATGCAGATGTTCCATCATGAGGTATTCTACGTATGTCTACGTAGGCAGAGGCGTAGGTAGTTTTTAAATTTGACCCATTCCACACATCGAATGGTGTGAAAGGGTGTTTTGACATTTTTTTATAACTTGGTGGTTTGAGATAAACGGTTTTGATTTTTCAAAAAGGGTTTTTTTGAAAATTGGTTCGAGGATTGTGAATCTAATGTCAAAGTTTTGTGACTCAAATAAAATGGAAATGAATATAGGAATGACGAATAAATATTTTTGGATTTTGAATAAATATTTGGATAAAGGAATATCCATAAACTCAAGATAAACACAGATATTGTTTTCGTAAGTGAGAGAACGATAAAAGCCTTGAAAGGGCAGTGAAAAAAGTAAGCAAGGCAATAATTGCGGCTTAAGAGGCGAACTGTCCGGAGAAAACAAGGCAACAGTTTTAAAAAAACAGTCTGGTGGAACAAACACTTAGAAATCCTCAGAAGGGAAGTGCGGATGCTATAATTTAACAAAGCTAAAATCAACCAAGACTGGGCGGAATACAAGGCTACACTCACACAGTATAATAAAGAAATTAGAAAAGCTAAGAGGCCATCGTGGAGGAAATTTTGTGAAGAGGTAATGGATACCCCCACTTGTTCGAGAACCCGCAAAGTAGGTACTATAAACCAGGTAGGGTTTCTAAAAAAGGACGATGATACCTACACAACAACATTTGGTGAAAGCATAGAAATGCTCATCAAGGCACACTTTCTGGCCGCAACAATTCTAAAAGGCCCAGTGGCAGTGCACTGTCCGCAAAGCAAGCCGAATGCCTTGGACTGGATATAAATCTCCAGGAGAGGACGGAATATATCCCATCCTACTTCAAAAGGGGCAGGAATCACTGATTTCATAATTATGTAGAATATATAAGGCTTGCATAGCTATGAGTACATAACGAATGAGTGGCATACCCAAGATAGGGAAGGTAAACGATATGACGCCTAAGTCATACCGACCAATTAGTCTAGGGTCTTTTCTGCTCAAAACACTGGAAAGACTGATAGATAGATACATAAGAGATGAGGTGTTATCAATAAACCCTCTCAACGAACGCCAATATGCGTACCAGCTAGGTAAGTCAACAGATCTGGCATTAGATGATCTTAACAGGCTACTAACAAAATCCTTAGAGGATAAGGAGATAGCCATGGCAACATTCATCGACATCGAGGGTGCCTTTAATAACGCATCTACAGAGTCCATCACCAAAGCTCTAGATAGAAAAGGGGTCCAACCCTCCTGTGTAAGTGGATAAATGCCAGTCTGGAAACAAGGGTAATCATATCATCCATAGGCGAAACCACAGTCATAGCTAAAACTGGCAATGGGTGGCCACAAGGAGGGGTGTTATCGCCCCTACTGTGGGCTAGTGGACGAACTACTAGGCTAAAATCCAAAGGCATGCATTGTTTAGGATATGCCGATGACCTCGCGATTATCGCAAGAAGCAAATTCGCAAGAACTCTCTCGGAGCACAAATGGCTCAAAACATAATAACTAAATGGTGCCTGGAGGAGAAACTAACAGTAAATCCTCTCAAAACTACACTAGTAGTTTTTACAAAAAAAAAAGTACTCAGAGGGCTGAAGCCACCAATACTGCTCGGGGTAGAAATTCCAATTCCTCCACAAAAGGCAAAATACTTGGGAGTCATTTTTGACCACAAGTCGACATGGAATCAACACCTACATAAAATAATCCAAAAAAGCACGATAGCCTTCAACTTGTGTAGAAGGATGTGCAGAAAAAATTGGGGTTTACTACCAAAAATGACCATATGGCTATATACCAGGGTTATCTTACCTATGATAGCATATAGCTCAGTGGTATGGTGACCAAAGACTCAGCAGGCTGGGGCGATTCGAAGGCTAAGTGGCATTCAAAGGCAAGCTTGCCTGGCTGCCACGGGCGCTATGAGAACCACCCCAACAGCCGCATTAGAAGTCTTGCTGAACCTAACGCCACTACATCTATATATTCAAGTGGAAGCCAGGTCAGTCATCAGTAGACTGACCAGAGGGCAATTGCCTATAAGCATGCTGCACGGTAAGAGGTACAACAAGCTAAACAAAGAGTTGGAAAACGACCCCATAATGGGAATGCCATCGGATGAGATGCTTCCCCAGTACAGTTTCGGAAAAAACTTCAAAACAATTATAACAGGCAGAGGGGCATGGAAGGGAGGACCTCCAATAAATGCAGAGGTTGCCTGTTACACAGAAGGCTCAAAAACTGAAGAAGGTGTAGGAGCAGGAATCTATATAACTAAACCAAAGACAAAAGTCTCACTAAGCTTAGGTAAAAAAGTGACGATATTCCAGGCAGAAACGGCAGCAATACGTCACTGCGCAGAAGAGTTACTAAGGCAAGAGTTTAAGGGAAAGACTATTGCAATATACTCTGATAGCCAAGCAGCTATAAAAGCAATTAACTCCATGCAAGTCAATTCCAAACTGGTCTGGAACTGCCTAGAAAAGCTACAAGAAGTAGGTAGTCAAAACAGACTGTCATTGGCCTGGGTACCAGGCCACACAGGATACAAGGGCAACGAAGAGGCTGATTCGCTAGCACGAAAAGGAGCACGATGCCCATTGTCCCAGAACCCTTTTGTGGTACAGCAAAAGCGCTGCGAAAAACTTGTAACAGCAACTGGAAGGGAAAACAATCTCAAAAATGGTGGAATAAGGCGCGGGGTATGAGACAGGCCCAAGAGTTCATTAAAGAGCCATCGCCAAAATTCTGTCTGAATAGGCGATCAACTAGAGTTCTGGTCGGGCTATTGACGGGACACTGTAGACTCAACAAACACATGAACAACATCGGACTGGCAGACATAGCCCTATGCAGGCTTTGTCAAGAGGATGAGGAAACCTCCGTACACATACTATGCTATTGCGAAGGTCTGTCAAGGATAAGGTTTGCAACATTAGGAGAGGAAAAATCACAACCCTCTCAATATATGGGGAACTTGAGGTCTAGCCTATGGAGTCTAGTTACAAGGACGGGCCTGGACAAGGAACTCTAGGATACATGAGGGCACACACAATAGACCTGCAAAGGTCGCAGTGTAGTGGCTGTTCAGCACAGAAGCCCCATATTAATCTAATCTAAGTGAGAGAAATGTATAGATATCACAACACAACAAAGTTTTTGTTTCGGGGTTGAAATTAGATGATTTTAATGTATTTCCACGTGTTAAAACCGAAAGTGACCATAAAAATTATATATTAGCTCTTGTTTTCAAGATATAGTATCATTATATTATATATATGTATATTGAGTTTTCAACAAATGAAATATTTCATCACCAACAGTTGGTACACATGTTTGTTTACATAACACCCCTCTCATCAGCTGTTCTTAAGTAGTAAACATAACCTATGTGAGTTTGTCAATTGTACGCACGTGGTTGCTATTGAAATTATCGTGTGAAGTTGATTTTTAAATTAATTTAAGTGCTGATCTGAAATGCCTCGAAAGTGTGTGAATTCTGTCGATAGCTTTTGCTATATATGTGGTGAAATAACATTTAAGGCTCAGAAACGTAAAATGACACCTATCGTTAAGACAGCCTATGAACATTATTTTGGTGT